CTGCTCAGAAATCGCCTGCAGTGCTATTGATCGTAAGTTGCAGACACTTGAGGAAAAACATCTGTTGAGAATAGAAAGGGAAAATGGGCACTATAATATCTGGTGATGCAATTGATGCAACACAGGCAAGTGTTAGGCTGTTTTACGACAAAAGTTAAGAACATCGTGTACTTCTGTCAAGTTACAGCACCCGGCATAATAATCCATGAGGGCTGCTCCAAAAGTAATGCCTCCCATTTTATAACGTTGGCCCACGGTGTCAGGATGTTGGTGTTATGGCAGTAGAGGCTGAATTTTACCACCAGCATTCCATTATATTTTGTTGCCATGCTATGGAGGAGCAATGTGAGAAATGACATCTGACATGGAAGTGCCTACGAAGAAAAGGTGTGCATCTGAACAGAAGAAATTGCGCCCACTGACATTCACTGGTGCTTGCAGAACAGTTATGGAGACCAAGCAGTGGATCTACCACCCACCACCTCACTGTGCTAACATTTCAGCAACATTTTTACAAGCGTGGAATGCAGGCAAGATTTTTTTAAGTGCTGAATGCACTTAATCGCTGGCAAAAATGCACAGCTACTGGTGGTGACTATGTTGAAAAATAGTGTTTTGTAGCTGAGCATTTGCTCTATCAGACTGTGCTATTGTTCTTTTGTGCCTGTTGTAGTTTGCATGAGATTAAACAGGAGGCATTGATTTTGGAACAATCTACATAGCATTTTCCTATAATAAACTGTACAGAACTGCCACATAATGTTTCATTCCATACCACCTGGTATCAGCCATGGAAGATGGATAAGCTGTAAAACTGTAACATGTTCTCCGGACTGTTATAATATTAAGAGTTTGGAAGGGGGACTATCATTCAGGCATCTAACTCCCACAGGTACTCTGAATTCCCCACCAAAGGTGCGTAACACTCAGCACAACCGGCAGTTTGCTTGGCTACTCGACTAGCAGAGAGACAGCACGCGCTGACGGGCGAACCTACTGGGTAAAGCTGTAAAGACAGCATACTGAAATTGGAGGTAACATGAAGCAGATGTAGGGAAGGGTGAAGTGGACTAGGAGTCCTTTTACCCTAGAGGATGGGGAAGTTTTAAAATACAGAGTAGAAGGAGATGCACTGCACAGCTGCTAACCTGCAGACTTTATGCGCTCTTGCCAAGTATAATGGAAGACCACAGCATCAATGACACCGTGGGCTCATCACCCAGAGCTCCGTTAAATGTGTCTAGCTTGTGAGTCAGCTTCAGCCTTCTCCTGCCCACAGCCCGCATACCTCCACCAGCAGTTGCCTGATGACCGTGTCCTTCCTCCCTTTCTCAGGGGTCTCCACTACAGAGTTTCTGCATGGCTGCTGGTTCTGCAGGGCCTCGGTGCTCACCAAGAACTCCACCAGCCCTGGAGGAAACAAGTCAGTCAGTCCTGCCTAGCAGCACCACGCAGCAGGAGTTGCTGCCATTCCTGGGAGTTTTCAGCCTAGAGGCCCATCACAGATGGACTTTCCCGCGGAAG